CTGGGATGAAGAGCAGACGAAAGATATCCTAAACCTTACAGATGAGCTATCGCCACCCCCGGCTACCTTGCTTGAACCAGAAGCGCAGGCACCTATTGACATCCAACACTTAGAAGCAACTGCAAACCTCTACCGTCCACCGACCGAATACCCATGAAGCCCACCCCCGGTGGCCAAGCCCCTCTATAGTGATGCACTTGGCTGTTACAATACCGAAACCCTCATCTCTGTCATGCCCCCTACCCATGACCATTTCCGCCGCGATCTATACCAATCCTTCGATGAAGGGAACTTAGGGCAGGATGAGGATGAGGGACCTAGCCGTGGAGAGCTCATAGAGGAAGAGAGGGATGTGCGGTCAGCTATGGATGACCTAAAGGGAACCTTTCGAGCCCAGATGATAAAGGCCTACCGTTGCGACCCCCTCTAGCACAAAGTTCTTGACAGCGGAAGGACCAGAGACCTTAAACTCTACGAAATCTCGGATGGAATGATATATGCACCTACCCGATATGGCAACAAAGCCCTTTACATCCCCGATGGACACCTAGTGAACGGAAAGACGCTGCGGGAATACCTCATCAGTGAAATCCATGACAAAGGCCATGCTAGCGCTGACCGGAACCTCCACTATGCTTCAGAATACCTATACTGGCCGGAAATGCGTGATGATTTCAAGCATTATGCGAAGACCTGTGAAGAATGCCAAAGGAATAAGGAACCAACTACCCTACCAGAAGGATATGCCCGGACATTGAAGTTACCTGCTGATGTGTTCGAATCATATGCCATAGATTTCGCAGGACCCTTTAACAAATCCAGTGGATATGACACTATCCTGGTAGCGCTGGACCGCTTCTCTGGATTTACCTGGCTTATACCCACCCTTGCATCCTCAACTGCCCAAGATACATGGGACCAACTGCGACGAAATGTCTTTACCCCTCATGGCCATCCTCTCTCTATCGTTACCGATGCAGACCCGAAGTTCACATCTAAATTCTGGAGACAAACCTTAACCTCGATGGGAATAGAACACATCCTAGCCACCCCGGGCCACCACCAGACGAATGGCCAAGTGGAACGAAAGATCAGAGAAGTCGAGACAGGCCTCCGGAACATAATCAACAAGCGACAAAACAACTGGGAACTAGCCCTCCCGGAAGCAGCAGCATACATCAATGCAATGTACTCGAGTACTATTGACATAGCCCCTTACAAAGCAATATATGGATGAAACTACCCCCTCCTGCCCCGCACCTTGTTCAAGGACTCTGCAGTACCAGCCTCTGACAATCACCTCAACCAACACGAAGCCCTCTGAAACGATGCATATCAAGCACTAAGAACCGCCCGGTTCCGAAATACAACCAAAGCACAAAAGAAGCGGAGACTCCATCATGCCATCCCCCCCCCGTGCCATGGTCATGGTACATGGAAACCTGTTCAGTCCTGAGACCGGCAGAAGCAAGAAACTCCAACCCCGCTGGCGAGGACCATTCAAGGTACTGGAATTCGATAGCAATACCGAGAATTACACCATCAAACTAGAAGGACGAATGTACCGACATGGCAAAGCAGTGGTTCATTCAACCACAGTAAAGAGATGGCACCCAAATGACGATAGCAGATTCCCGGGACAATGCCATTCCCGACCAGCTCCGCTACTTATCCACAACCAGGAAGAATGGGAAGTGGAAGAGATACTTGACCACAGAAAGCGCTATGGAACCGATAAGTTCCTGATCAAATGGAAAGGCTATGCAGACTCCGAAAATAGCTGGAAGCCAGTGGAAGGAATTGAGAATGCGATGACCCTTGTGCATGAGTGGTGGGAAACCAACATGCCCGGAGAACAACTACCCCCTACTATTAACCACATAATGATAGCTTGGTCACCTACCTTACCCACCACACAACGAATACGCGAAGACCCCCCTACCAGACCAGATTTCTGAGCTCCCTATGACGCAAACGAATTTGAAAGCAGCAGTGATGAAGACCAAACAATGGCAGATGTTATAGATACCTTTATTTAACGGCACACTCCCTATCCGAATACCTTAAAGATGGAAAACTATGAGGAACTGAATGTGAGGCTACGCCATCAGCTTGTAGGACTGTTGGTGGACCGCGGTGCTATCCTACTGGAAAACTACTTTGATACCCTCTTGGTTGATTACTGCCCGAATTGCGAGGACCTACTGGTGGAGGTATGGGAAAGAGCGGCAGGTATCCGCAATTACTGTGACTTTCATTTCCTTTACTCAAATTGTTTTTTGCAATTTCGGACATGTGTGTTTTGTATTGCCGATGGTGATTGGACGCTAGCTGATGAGGAATATGGCGAGGATTTTTATGAGGATTTTGATTTACGAGATTATTGATTTGTTTAGGTAATCAGATGTTTTGTTTTAGGGAATGTAACCGGAACTGGAGTTCAGTTCGTTTGGTTCAAGCATTTGTTTATGATTTGTTTTACTTGTGGTTTCGAGTATCCTTTAAAA